TCTGCAATTCAAGTCTTTAGATTTTTGTCTTAACCACAGGACAGTCTCAGGAATCAGCCGGTTTATTCAGCTTCAAACCCAACTCTGACCCCTGAATTAATATTTTAATTAACTGATAAATAATAATGCTCATTGCTCAGTTTGGTTTCAGATTTTGCAGAAATAACAGGGCTACAAAAGTCGTGATAAGATGAGGCGAGGACTCCACGAGACCTCTGATGGTGTGTTGGTTCCCACAGATCCCACAGATGCCGGGTTGAGATCTGGGGAATCTTGAGAGTATGCCCACAAGTGCCCCGCCAGACCACTTTCTTCCTTGCCCTGTGGTCCAGTTTTAGGTTCATGTGTTCATTGTAAGGACTTTGGGGTCAGAATGGAAACTTGAGATCCTCTGCTTGGCTGGAGGATTAGAATCAGGATGTCTTCTTGTGAGTGTTGCCTAATGTGGTCTTACTTCCTACAGGTGCAACAGTCAAGAGATTATCAACAGCATTCACAGTCTGTACGTTTACATGACACTCGAGAAAACAGAATTATTGCCTTTTTCTGATTAAGACCGGACAACTTATGTGCATGTTAACACCTTAGTCTGACTATAATTGAAGTTTGAGAACTCCGATTGGAGTCAGAGAACTCAGATCAAGACACCCAGACAATGCTATTGGAATTCAATTTTGTCTACCATGTAACCAGTGAAGTCGGAGTATGATCAGTCAATGCATGTGTGGAACAAAAACACCGGAGAAGAGGAGTAGCGTTCGTCTCTTCTGCAGAAAAAGTAGCGCGTCCATCATGTCGGACAAAAACAACGCTGTACGATGCTCCATCTTCTTGTTTCTCCAAAATTCCCAGCAGCAGTTGTAGACACTTCTGACGTCTGACACCGACCTGCTGTTGTTGTTGACGGTTGTATTGGGTCGGAAACAGCGCCGCTGAAAAGACCCATATCTGAGGAGGTTTTTGGACCTAAAGTCAGATGGATGCTGAAGTCCTTGTCAGCATTAGTCCAGGACATCCTAACCACAGCTCAGGTGAAGCTTATAAAACTTCTGTGACAGACTTTCAGTTTTCCTGGTCTTCATCTTCCCTCAGTGTTGTTACCTGGAAGACAAACTCCATAAACTAAATGCTGATTGAACAGATTTATCAGATCAAACCGGCCTGATCCATACGGCTCTTTGCCGGTGAGCCAGATACCCATACTCAGTATTCTTCATCTCGCACACATACCTCAGGTGCAGCGAGGGGTAATCTCTGGCAGATGCTGCCGGGAAATTAAAACACAGAGGGATTAGCGGGGGCTTGGGGGACCTGTCAGCTACACTTGTTGTGAGGAGCCATGAAGACAGTTGTTCTAACAGGTTAATTGTCTGTTCCCACCTCCAAACGTCGCCCTGCCCTGGATAGTTTGGTGCCGTGAAGACATCCTGTGACATCCAGCGTTCCAGACCAGTGACCGAGCCTCTCTCTTCCACCCCCACCTGCTCACCACACACTGAACACACTCATGCTGACAGGGTCCACTCTGTCTGGCCCCCAGCTGTTTGGCCACAGATGGGTGGCTTCCTGTCAGAGTCTTTTCCAGATGTAAAGGGTTTTTCCCTTTCTTTCACCGCCTTTCTTCCCTCTCTGCTCCTCCCCTGAGGTGTTTTGTCTGTCTGTCCCAAATCATCAAAAGCTCATATCTCCAATCCCATGAAGGGTTTTCTCCGTCTTTACGCTTCCTTGCTCTTTCTTTGACTCCAACCACTGGTGATTTTAGAGTCTTTCAGCCTGTAGGAAGTAAACAAGTGGCCCGGTTGGGTCGTCCATCTCAGGCAAAGAGCTAGATAACAGAAATGTACAATAAGAGACATTAATAGTCCAGTTATTTACTGTAAGCAGACTCAGTGGTGTAAAACGGCAGGACCGACGTGTGGAGCCTGACAGAGGATCTTGATGCTAATGCTAGATGAGGTCTTTGAGGGTATCCGTATATTTGAACACTCTAATGGAGCTCACACCAAGAGTGAGTGAAATCATCTACTCGCTTAATTTGTGCGACTCTAGATGCGTGAATGAAAGTATTTACTTGCTTTATTCGCGCGTCAATGGTAATCCCTGCCAACTCAAGTGATAGACAAAAGTTTTTTACAACTCAGAGAGTAATCTGACCTCCTCACTCACTTGGCGTAGCTTAGCTCGTTTTTATTCCGGTTTCGGTAATTGAAAGAAAAGGTATCATATAATTCAGGGCACCCACACACCGACACGATCAGTTTGTCCTCCATTTTAGATACCAGTGACCAACCATCCGTTTTCATACGTCACCCAGCAACCTTCATGCTGATTGGTTATGGCAACATGAATATCCACTCAAGTTGAGACATTTTCAGCTCACGCCGAATTCGCATAATTCGCCCTGCCAGAGTAGTAGGAGCGTCTAATCGCGTCTTTGCATTGACTTAACATGTAATTCATTCGCGTGAATGATTTTACTCGCGCTTGGTGTGTGGAGACAGTTAGATTTGAAAAAGGACGCCGGTGTAGGTACAAATGTAATATGGCCGCCAGATCGGCTCAGGGCCCGGCACCTATTGATGGCGTCACGCTGTATGATTGGCTGGAAGTTGGTTTGGATGGTGTCGAAGATTGTGGTTGGCCTGGACATTATGGAAGCAGTTTTTCGCCGGATTAGGTTTCATGGGATTTTAGTTTTTTTAGAATTTCACAAAGATATTGATCGCAACTTATCGAAGGGGATTTACGATTGCCGGACTATCGCTTCTTTTAGGAAATGTGGAATAAAAGCAAATCTATTTATTGATTAACGGAGATCATGCATACTTTCCTTTTTCCTTTAAAGAAGTTAACATATATGATTCAAACCATCTAAAAATCACATTACAGCAACGTTTAATTATCTTATATGGAGAGAAAGTTTCTAGGTCAGCTGAATGAAAAAAACGGAAATACAGAAAACCGGAGTGCAGTGTAGTCCGCTGTAGTGCCGTATCTGATCATCTGTATCTTCACTGTGTTTCTCCACAAACAGACAAACCCGTGATGTGAACACAGTATAAGCTCTGCTGGAGAAATGAAGGTTTTCTTCTGTTATAAATATTCAATCTCGTGTTTGAACGCCCCTCGACTCTCTCTCTCTTTCCTCTAACTCCACGCTCTATCAGTGTAAAGACCGGGCCATATGGCTTAACAATAGCCACAAGTGTTAAAATATTAACTTGCTCCACCTCATTAGGGCTCTCCAAAGTCCAACCCCCGGCCCTCCGAGCCGTGAGGCTTGGTACCAGCAGGATGCGCCCCCCCGCGCGGTCTTCATAAAGGCCAGTATGGCATCGTTAATGGTGCTTGTTGGCTTAAGATCGACCTGCAGCTCAGCAGGAGATGCTCTGTGAAATGGCGTCTATAGAGTCCACAGGGGAGCCTAGTGTTTTGTGTTTGTGTGACTATGGTGTGCGCTGTGTGTGTGTGTGCGTTTGTGTGTGGCATATGTGAGTTTGAGTGACAGTATAAGCTTGAAGAGAAAGAGGCAGGGTCGGGGGCTCTGAGGTATGCACACTTGGTACAATGACCCCAAATTTATGTAAAGAAGCTTCGACATAATACAGACCTCCAACAGTCACTTTAAATTGGCTGGTGAATTCTGAGGACAATAAATCTCCATAAGTCTCCATCCTCCTCAGGTATAGAAAACAGTTTGTCATGAGGAGGTTCTGGATCAACGAGGCTGCAAGAAACGGCAAAATTTAGAGGTGATTTAGAGTAACGTCACAAGGTGAGTAGACGATGTAAAGGAGGATCCGGAGATCAGGGACAGTTTTATGAAACCCCAGGAACAACTCTCCCAATCGACTGCCCTCCTTCCCTATGGTGAATGTGCAGAAGATGTTACACGACAAAGACCTGCTCGCCATCAATGAACCAGTGTGGTGGTGGGATCCTGGTTGCGGAAACATGAGAGCTTTCATTGATGGAATTGACTGAAGAGGCCTGGAGGATGTGTCGGGTGTGTGTGGCTCTCAGCTGCTGTATTTATCACCTTAAACTCTCTGAAAGACTCGGAAATCTGATGCTGGTGAAAGGAAACGACGCCGCAATGGTTGCATAAACTTCATTTCTTGATTTTAAAGGGTCTTCTGGTTGAGAAATAAAGGTCCAGAGTTTGTGTCCTCAGTATAGACGTAATCTCTGGATCTCATTTGGGCAAAACACCTTTTAGAAAATATTGAGAATTTCAGAAGTATCCCTAAAGTCTGTCTTTGCAGAACCATAAAAGGATAAATCTCTTTCCTCTTTCTGCGCTCTCCGCCCTCTTGTTTCTCCTTCCTTCCCATCAATGATCCCCTCTTTTTCTGACATGTCATCTTCCCCATACCCCATTGTGAGTGGATTAACTCCACAAGTGTCAGTCAATACCATTTCCTTTCACTCCTCTCCCCTCTACCCCCCCACATCTCTGTCGCTTCCCACTCTGAGGAGACGAACAGGTCGGGGAATACTGGGTCTTTTTTCGTGTTGGATGCGATCAGGTTTATCTGGATTTCTATCGAGAAAACATTAGCAGCAGGTCCAAGACTGTTCGATTAGGTAGTACTCAATAAAGCTGCAAAAATAGGGCATGCAATGAAGAAACTGAAGAGCTGCAGATAAAATAAACAGCTGTGGTCGATCTTTGGACCCCAGATTCAGATTTGGCAAAACTCCCTTCAGAAGAAGACCTCCAAAGTATTTCATACAAGAGCAGTAAAAGAGGAATCTGTGACGCCATGTCTTAATATCATGTGCAATCAACATGTAACAGATGTTGAGTGTCTAGATCAGTCGGGTTTGACAAATTTGTAGTTAAAAAGTCACATCTATAAGGAACATATCCAAGGAGAGAAACTGCAGGTGTTAGAAAACAGAGCTGAGAACCTCCTGTCCAATAAAACCTGGACGTAGGAGGACGGCACATCATCACTCACAAAAGCATAAACTTAGGAAGAAATTACAGGGGCAACATGCCGACAAGAGAGACAGAGACAAAAGGAGATGCTGAATCTTCTGGCCCAAGATCTGAAACATATGGACTGAGGCACCTAAAGCCGAGGGATCGAGGGAGAAGAAAGTCCAAAGATCGGCAGAGATCCGGCCAAGAGAGCCCTGAGAGAGACGGGAGGACAGAGAGAAAACAATATGAGGGAAGAGACGGAGGTTCACTCAGGGTTTCCAAAACCATTCACAGAAGACTCCTCAGCAGGATCAACAAGCAGATTACAAGACTACTTCACAAATTAAGCAATAAAAAGATCAAACCAGAGGATCATGGGAGGCCGGGGCTAAACCAAGTCCAGCGGTACATTCTTTTCTGCACGCTGAACTGTAAGCGGCTCGGTTAGAAACTTCAGGTGCTGAGAGATCGGAATGAACAGAAAAAAGTGGCGAGACCAAGAGGTGGATCGAGAGTGACATATGTGACATCACTGACGTTAGTGTTGGGCGGTATGACGGTTTATATTGGGTGACAGTATAAAAGTGTCTACAGGTAGAAATTTTGCGATACAGTTTATATCAGAGAGAGAGAGGGAGAGCAGAAGATGTCTGCTGTATCTCTCTGAGTCAGTGTGTAGTTGTCTGTGCTCGCTAACAGGAGAGCTGGAGTGCATCTGTTTGGGTGCGTTTCTGTATTTTCACCAGCGAGTCATGCAGAGTTTGTTCGCTCACTTTTATTGGTCAAGTTTGGGTGCGCTCCCTATAATCACCAGCGTGTCCAGCAGACTGCTTGGCATAGTTTCAACGAAGAAGAAACAACTTCACTGGTGGTGGTCATGGCGGACGCGGAGATTAGTGGCAGTACAGAGAAAACGGAGGCAGCCTGACCCTCCCAACAGGAGGAAGAGGAGGAGGAACTCGTAACGAAAAAGGGCGCGAGTCGCGACATCGGTTGTCTGGAGATTCTTCGGATTTAGAAAATCCTACAACGATCAAAACACAAAACTATGCAGAGTGTCGTGTGGCTGTCGTTGCTGGAGGAGGAAACACTAGCAACCTCTTCCACCACCTGAAGCTCTATTATGAGAGTCAAAAGATGCGTGACGCACCTGCTGCACCAAAAACTAAAACTGCAGCACCTCCCCTCATACTAAAGAGCTCGGCAGAGTCTTTCACCAAAGGCACGCCATATGATAAAAAATCACCAGACTGGTCAGACATTTTGTTTACATTTGTATACAAATCCAAAAATGTACCATGATATTTACCGTTACCATGATATGAAATTACTCATACCATCTTATAAGATTTTGTTCATACCGCCCAACACTAACTGACATTTTATCTATTTATTATACAGTCTATGTTTTCTTCAGCTCTCATTGGGAGTCACAGAGCTGACTCGATCACGTGGTTAACCTCCGTACTCTCCTGACACAAACATAAACCCCGTCTCTGCGGCCTCCTGATTCCACAGAGCGAAATATATTCTGTAAATCCTCGCAGTGTGAGTTTGAGCTCGGTCTCTAACACAACAGCTGTTCTTTGAAAGAAACTCCTCTCCTCCTCCCCTCCTCCTCCTCCTTCTCCATCTCTTTCTCCTCTCCACCCTCTCTGCTCCGTCCTCCACCTCTTCCCTGTCACTGATCCCTGCCCTTTGTGAGGCTCCCTCTCCTCTCTGTGAGCCACTGATGGAGGATTTACCCCCCGACTGTCAATCAGTACTGTTTTTCTTCCTCCTTGCCCCTCCTCCACCACCTCCACCTCCACCTTGCTCCTCCAGTCTTTTAATATAACACTGAGTCCTGCCTTAGGGGGAGGATGGTGTTTTTTTCCCCTTTGCCATTCCAACATTTGATGCCTCTTTTCCGTCTCTGCCTCTTTTTCTTCTCCTCTGTCGGACTGTTTGCTCAGCTCTGGGTCTCCCAGTTTGGTGTAGAGGGATGAAGAAGAAAAGCCAGAAAGAATAAAGAAGAAGAAGAAGAAGAAAGAGCGGTTCGAGGTGTAAGGGTTTAATAAAAATCAAGTGCTCTTACCTTTTAAGAGCTCTTGATTTTTTATTAAACTCAGAGGTGACGATTTATTACTACTTCACTGCAACCTGGGCTAAAAGTCCCAAAAACTGCAGTTCTACAAATGTCCACTAGAGGAAGGCACCGGAAGTGAGTCGACATAAATACAACATTATTGATTGTGTCACATTTCTAAATAGATGCATTGGACTAGAGGTGTCCCGATACAACTTTATGACTTCTGATACAATACCCATATTGTAGCCTTCTGTACTGACCGTTACCGATATTGTTCCGATATTGGCACAAAATTATGCATGACAAGTTTTTCACCAGTTGCGATGTTTTTTTCGGGCTCTGCTTGCTGGATCAGGGCGCTGCGAGATAAACGTGCCGGAGCAGAATCTGGAATGGACTGCTTGTATCGGAGTGCTGATATCGGAGATTTTAGATCCAGGCAGATATAATCTGATATTCATTTTTTGCTGATATCGGACTGATATCTGATATCAATATCGTATTGGGACACCCTTACATTAAATATATGATCTTGTACTGATTGGATTTTAAGGATGCAGACTCATTTGATTCAACTTTCATCTGGATTTAAATCTAGATTTGCACCTGCACACAGCTGCTCTGATGCGCACCTAATTTGTGTCATTTGTGCCACCAGAGTAGTAGTAGCGCCTAGTCGCGTCTTTGCATTGACTTAACATGTAACTCATTCGCGCGAATAATTTTACTCACACTTGGTGTGTGGAGACAGTTACATTCAACCCCCTCTCCGTATTTTTGACGTATTTTTAAGATTTGACACCTAAATAGTGTCAAAAATGCAGACCTGGTGGAGTACGAAGTGAGGACTTTGCTGTTTGGTTGAGGATTTAAAAGATAATCGAGAATCAGTCTTTTATTTTTTGATGCATATTGACCTCCTCAGAACAAAGATTTCACAAAATTTGAGCAACTTTATCAAGAATATCAGCATAATGTATTTCAATGGAACTCAGCTGATCTCCTCTTCCCTGCTGCAGACATAAATCATGTTGATTTTGCAGCTCCGTCCCACTCCGTTGTCCTGGATAAACATCGTTTCTGTTCGGACACTGTTTCCAATTACTCCGCGTGATAAACGTGATTGTTTGCAATAATAGTCTGATACTGTGTCCTTATAAATTCAGTCAAACATGGATGAGAAGGTGAGAATCCAGCTGTTGTGATAAGTTACAGTATAAACTAAAGGACCTTAAACTGGTATCTCTGCCTCTGGAGCTGAAAAACAAGCTCGAACGTCTGAAATGTTCCCGCTCAGTCAGGAAACAGATCTGTATTTACATTTTTGAAGCTTGAATGCGCTCTGACCCTTTCATGTTGTTTCTTTTCAAGGGGCTAAATATTTACTTTCTACTCTCCAAAAGTGATTTCATTTTTCATTTTCCCACTATTTGACACTCGTGTTTGTGTTGGCTGTTCTCGGCTCTATAGGAGCGGGAGGCAAAGTGCCTCTGATGTTTGGCCTTGAAACTAAATACGGCTTTTCAAAGAGCTTTTTAAACTTTCCACTCAGTGTTTTTGGTCTAAAACGCAGGTAAGAGCTGTACGTTTCTAAAGTTTATGCTGCAGCAGTCATGCTTAATCCAACATACGAGTCAGAGCGTGATAGTTTTTTTTAAATAGAGTACCCACTTTCCTACTTTTGCTCCCTGTGGCATCTTTTAAGGGAGGATCTTTAAATACCTGATGTTACCAGAATCTTGACAGTGTCACGGTTTTGCAAGTGACTGAGGAAGTCTGCTGCAGTAGCCCTTAAAGTCAATTTCTGGACTATACGGATTATACAAATATCAATCTTACAAAACCAGATAACAGTAAGCAGTATAACCCCGTTTGTCATGATATGTTCTGTTTTTGTATTTTATTTTGTAGTAGTTGCTTCCTCGTGTTTCTAGTCTGGTTTTACTTCCCTAGTTTTCCCTTCTTTGTCAATTTTGATTCTTGGATTTTGCTTCTTGTGTCTTTTGGACTTTTGGACATTTTGAGACTAAGTTTTAGTTGGACTTTTACTTTTGCTTTAGTAAATCCTTAGTTCAGTATTTTTGGGTCCTATTCCTTTGTTTTTTGTACCATTCGTGACACAGTTTTAATGGCATGTAAAGTGTATAAACAAAATGATCAATTATTGGAAAACTTGATGTAAAGAGTGACTGAAACCTTTCATTTCTGTTGCAATCAGAGTGGCCGCTGCAGCCATTACGGTATTTGTTATAAATTGCACCAAGCAGGACTATGATTTAACGTTTTAAGCTGCATGTTTGCAGCTTCATGTGTTTTAAATTTTTGTTTTAAAACTGGACCAAGAAAATAACAAAAAATATCTTTCTTTATTAAAAGTTTTGCATGTCGTGCTTATTGATCTAAAATTTTACACTATTTAAAACAAAGTGGGAGTATTTCTTGATAAATTGTGGAAAACTGCAGTTCCTGAAGTGTCCATTAGGGGGCTGGCTGCAGAAGCACCAAATCCACATACACACCCATTCTAAAAAGCTCATCTTTGCAGCAAAACTAAACGTGTTTACAGTCTTGTTAAGGAAACGTTTTAATTCTTCAGCACAGACACTTCATGTGTTGGGAACTCATTAATTTGAAGATAGTAGTGTTTTAAATTTGGTCTAATAGGGGCGTGGCTGACTTGAGTGGCAGGAGGGCACAAAGTCTGGTCGTGCCATGACTTCCACTATCTTGACAGATGTCATGTTCTGCTTCAGAGACCATCGGCTGAAATCAGTGAGACCACGTCTGTGTTTATATCGTCTATTATTCCAGCTTGTTTTTATATTTTTGTTAAAATAATGTTGAAGTTCATGGATGATTATGCCAATAAGTATCCTGGCAGGTCATCAATAATTAAATATTGATTTATTTAAACAGTTTAAAACAACAATAATGGTATATTCCCCATAATTTAAACATAAATGGGGTTAAATCATAGTTTTTATAATTGTTGCTGTTGTAAGTAAGTAGAGTGATATAAAATCCTCCATGAAGAGGACTGAGATCTGAGCCGCTGCTGCTCCTGACTGCCCTGACTCATACCCTGACTCACACCAATCCATGTTTCCTGTCAAAGAAAAACATTTATCAGCTCCTTCATCCTCCTGAGGGAACGTATTTCATCTCTTCCTCCGTTTTTCTCCATCCCAGACTCTCCGGGGTAATGGGCAGCTAAACACCCTTCCTGCTATCTCATAATCTCAGTATCATATTCTGTTTGTCAGGAGTCTAGGGTCAGCAGAAAGCGCCCTAACAACACTCAGGATCAGCTTTATCGGTGCAGGGCTAACCTGGGCTTTGATTCTGGATCTCCTCCTGCTCAGTGTCGGGTTACATCA